GTTTTTGGCAGGCAATCACTTTTTGGCACAACACCGGCAACCTTCCAGTTACAAGATGACCTTCCCAATCCCCTGAACCACGGTCGCAATACTACAATAATATGTGTATTATTGTAGGGTCTACGTTACAATATAAAGCGCCTTGAGGGAACTGTTGTTGTGATTTGGCGCTGTATAAATAAAACTGTGAAAAATTCATATTTTGTAGTAGGAAAGTTGCTGCCACTCAGGCTGAAACTATTTTTTAATAAGACTTGTACTTTTCACTTGATAATCTTTTCTTTGAAACCTTCACGTCTGCCTTCCTAACACTCCTCTCAGTGGCTTTAGTCGTCATAGCAACCGGTCCCCGCAGGTGCACGGTGAAGTCATGTTTTCTCTTTCAGGTTTTATGTTATGATACCGCAGTTTTGTCCGTTTCCATATGTATGTAGAGCCTATGGAGACGGGTATTCAGCTTACACAAGCGTGCTCCCGTGCCATTCTTTTGAAATCCAACAACGCATAGTTTGGCATAGGCTGAACGCTGATTGGTTGATAAGTGGGCCAAAGCAGACCCGAGAAACACGATCCGTTCTGCCATGTGCTCATGTCCTTATCTTTCACAATAAAAGCCCCAGAGTCCCGAATGCTTTACAGCAGGGGTGTCAAACTCAAATACACAGTGGGCCAAAATTCAAAACTGGAACAAAGTCGCGGGCTAACGTTAATATTTATTGAAATATATTTATTGAAATATATTTATTCCTCCAGATATAAGAATGAATCTTTTCTTATGGACTCAAACACGTTTTGCTGAAAAACTGAATATGGAACAAGCAAAGCTTAATGCTAAACAATATATATATTAGCTGTATAATACCAGCAGGCCAGCTCTGATAGTAATTTGGTATGGCTTCACGGGCCAAATGTAATTAGGCTGCGGGCCAAATTTGGCCCACGGGCCAGAGTTTGACACCTATGCTTTACAGTTTGACTAGAGCCATCACCTTGATAAGAAGCTGAATTTAATAGCTTAAAAAGGTGAAGAGATTTGCAAGAGATTCTGGGGTATACATAAGAACCACATTATTGATTTAGAGTTATGAAATTAAAGACAGTAAATGATGTAACAGATTGGTGGCAGATGGAAGGGCATTAAAAGTGGTCATCTTTCCAAAGACAAGAGCAATATTAAATGTCAACAGGGTAACTGACTGAAATTAATATTTACCACATATCAGAATAATTTATTAAATAAAATGTATATTTGTGGTTGAGGTTCTGATCAAAATGTTTCAACAGTGACATCTGCAGGCTAGATGAGGTAGGGCAAGCCATGTGATTGTGCAGACAAGACTGGACTCTCACCTCTTCGGGATGTAATCTCTTACATGAATATAATGGACTTCCGTTTTTTCCATGATAATACTTATTCTATAAGCTGTGAAGGACTGTTAAATTAGGAGAGAATGGATTTTGAAGGGTGCATTCACCAGCAACAAAGCACTGCTGTGGGAAGGAAAGTGCTGCTTTTGTGGCAGAGCTGCAGGCCTCTCTGCCATAGCATTGGCACTGGATTTTGATATTGACAATGGACTGTTTCACTGTTATTTTGGCTGTGTATTGTGATGTAAACACCAGTCCAAACTGTAACTTATCAAATAAAAAAGCATCTAACACATGAGAGAGAAAGAGACTGGTGGATGAGCTACAATGGCTTACAATCAAGAGAGAGCACTTTACTTTCATTAACCTATATTAATAGAAACTGCCTATACATTCAGAAAGAAAAAAAATGAAAGGTTTTTCTACTTTTGAGTGGAAATAAATAATGTACTTACTGTATTAAGTCCTTTCATCCTCATGCTAACCCTTTACTCACATTCTGTACAGCCAGAAGCTACCAGAAAAACATCCATTAATTAGAGAGGACCTATTTGTTAACAGTTCATGGCCTGCATTTGTATAGCGCTTTTCTAGTCCTTAAGGACCCCAAAGCGCTTTACACTACATTCAGTCATTCACCCATTCACACTCACATTCACACACTGGCGATGGCAAGCTACATTGTAGCCACAGCTGCCCTGGGGCGCACTGACAGAGGCGAGGCTGCCGGACACAGGCGCCACCGGGCCCTCTGACCACCACCAGTAGGCCAACATGGGGTTAGTATCTTGCCCAAGGATATTTGGCATCGAACCACCGACCTTCTGATTAGTGGCTGACCTGCTCTGCCACCTGAGCTACAGCCACCCCCAGTTCAGGTTCTGTCCGCTCAGTGTGCAAATATCTCATAAACAGAGAAGCCATGCAAGTTCAGAGTGACCAAAACTCCAGACTCCAGACTCAAACAAAGTAAAACATCATGCCCGTGTCACATAAAATGCCATTCACACCAGTATACAATGCAAAAAAAAAAAAAAAAGAAAGAAAAAAGAAAATTTCTTCATCCTCTTCTCAATAACTGCTGATTTTATATATATTAGCCAGTATGTAACTGGTTAGGTAACAAATGATAACTTAATAAATGCTGTCTTTTACTGTTTTAGAAAAGAAAAACGCATTTAGTCTCACATTTGCTTCACTATTTATTTTGATAACTGATAATAAAACCTAAAGCAATATTTCTCACAGACAGCCAGAATAGGCCTATTGTTAAAGAGAAAGTCATGATAATAGTTTTGGTAAATGTAGAATGCACATAGGATTTTTTTAATTGATAATATATAGTTAATATTGGGGTGCTGAGGTGGGATTTAAGGCACCATAAAACCTTGGCCCGGCTCTGAATTTGGGGTCTAACTAGTTAACAACGTTCTTCCCTATACTTCAGCTTCCCCTTGGATGCACCAAGGGGAAACTGAAGTAAACGCCCACTTTTGGGAAGCGGAAGATGGGGATCTTGGGTTTCTTGCTGTAAACTGTAAGCAATCGTCTGAACTCCATTTATTTCGATGGTACATCTGTAGTAATTATGATAGCTGTGAACTCCGGAGGATGCGAGGACAAAGTCAGTGTCGCAGGCATGCAACGCCGGATGGATGGCTCGTCTAAACGTCGAGCCGACATGTGTTGACTATGGCAAACTGGTAAAAGGTAAGGACGTTTAGGCTAGCGTTAGTTACGCCGCTAGCTAACCGCGTTTAACTGTAGCAAACTTTCAGGGCAATATTGCAGGCCCTTAGTGGAGATATCGTTTACCGCTACGCAAAATGAACAGTGAGGTTACATAATTCATATCTAATTTTCGCTGTATTTTGTTTTACGGCTAAAATTAACGCTGGTCCTGGCGCCATTTGGTGTTGATGTGCGAATATTAAAAACGAAACGCAGTTGAATATCCTGTTGTGTAATATTGTTGTGTAACGGTTTGCGCTTCCTGTTGCCTTGAAATGCGCGTGCGTGTGCATGTGTGTCTGTCTCCAGGTATCCCTCCCATCGCGGTGCTAACCAGCCGGCGTCTCTGCTGCCATGGAGGTGGGCAGCCTCCCCGTGGAGCTGTGGAGGGTTATCTTAGCCTATCTCCCTCTCCCTGACCTGGGCCGCTGCTGCCAGGTGTGCCGTGCCTGGCGGGAGCTCATCCTCTCTCTGGATAACACCCGCTGGAGACAGCTCTGCCTGGGCTGCCCTGAGTGCCGACATCCCAACTGGCCTAGTCAACCTCATCTGGAGCCCCCTTCGTGGAGAGAGGCCCTGAAACAGCATGCCCTTGCCACCCGCACCTGGACTCAAAATGGTCCAGAGCTCCAGTCCTCCGCCTGCCTTCTCTTCTTCCGTCGTCGGAAAGATCGCAGGGTTTGGCACGTGGGGCCGGGATGTGAGTTTGAGACCCTGCGCGGAGCCCTTGGGGTGGTGGGGCCTTACGACCGAGTGGTGCTCCATCCAGGGGTGTATGAGGAGCAGGCTGAGGTAGCGCTGAAAGTACCGGTGGAGCTGGTTGGGTTAGGTCGACTGGGCGAGGTGGCCCTCCTAGTGTGTATGGAACAGCAGTGCCCTACTGCCAGGCTGTGTAATCTGGTGTTCATGCCACCCTGGTTCTCCACGGTTGTCTACAAGGTGCAGCTTGTTTCCTAAGAGTCTCAGAGTGAGATTGGCCTAGTCTATACACTCCTATAAACACAAATTTCTTGAGAAAATAGAATCTAATTATATTTCTTTGTTTCTTTCTGTCTTGCACTCCTCTAGACATCCTGGGGACATGTCCAACTAGATAACTGCAACTTTGAGGGGGCTCAGCTGCAAATCCGCGGGCCAGGAACCTGCCAGGCTCGGTTTTGCTCCTTCTCCCAGGGCAGCTCTGCACACTTGCTGGGAGTTGTCCTGAGTTTATTTGACAGCTGTGACTTCTCAGGAAGTGACACAGCTTCAGTGACTGTGGAAGGTCCCCCAGTCTCAGAAAGGAACTGGGCTTGTAAACATTTGGCAGCTCTGGCTAGGACGTTCCCATCATGTGGCCTATCTGAGCATAATAGTTCTCCCAAAGGACATCCGGCTGCCTCCACTGGTGGACATCAACCTCCAGGTGGTAATGTTAAAAAGGAGAGCATAACCATAGGTGACTGGAAGAGGAGAACAGGGGTAGATGCGGTATGTCAGAGGACAGTGATTGAAGATGGTTGGAGTGATGGTGAGCGCAGTGAGGGAGAGGAGAACAGAGACGAGTGGGGGGCCAACAACACCAAAAAGCATTTTACACTGGAGTACAAAATCCCATGTGACCATCATGGCCTATCACATTTGCTCAACCCCCGGCCAGATGGCTCTCTTCCACTTTCCTCTTCCCCAGATCCCCCTTCTATGATCCCTGACCCTCTCACCCTACAGCAGGAGTTAAACAGAGACCCGGAGGCTCACATGTTGGCAGCATCGACACTTGGCTCCATCCTCAGACGATGCCTCTTCAGGGACGGGAAGGGCGGTGTGCATTTGTCCAATTATGGACAAGCTCGACTGGAGGAGAATGTTTTTCGTAGCCTGAACTACGCCGTGCGCTGCATCCAAAACTCCACAGTTAATAATGTTCCTAGTAACTTTGCTTCATACAAATGGCATGCATCTGTGATTGTGTATTGTGTGTATTTGGGAAACATATCAAGTTAAAGTAGCTCATATCATTAGTAATTTAGCATCAGTGTCCTATTCAAGCTGCTACTTGATCACCTTCCTTTTCTATCTCTCTCCTGCTTCAGATCGTAATGCTGAGAAACGAGGTCTGCGAATGTCGTGCGTCAGGCGTGTTTCTGCGCCTCTCTGCTCAGGGCCTCATAGCAGAAAACAACATTCACTCGAACGGGGAGGCAGGGCTGGATATCCGAAAGGGGGCTAACCCAACCATTGTGGTAAATGCCACACAATTGCTGATTGGATTCCAACTTTTTAAAGATGCAAGCAAACAAAAAATTTCCTGTGATAGTATGTCCCAGACCCTTTCAGCAGCATGCCCAGATATCATGGATAAGGAGATTTGTGTTCATTACTTTTCTAACTTACTCAACACAAGAGCTTAAGATGCATAAAACAGACAGACCCAGAGTATGAATATTTATGATTTCCAGAAATGATCTATTCAGGCTTTCCAGATGAATCTAATTTCCTCAGTCTCTTTATCCATTATCAACTATTAATCCACAGTGCAACAAAATACACAGTGGTTTGCGCTCTGGGGTTGTTGTCCTTGGCAATGGAAAAGGTTCAATTCGAAGCAATCAGATTTACAACAACAAAGAAGCTGGGGTATATATTCTCTTCAGTGGAAATCCCGTGGTAAGGTAGGTTGGAGTCTGCAAGCAATTAATTTGGATATTATTCACTGTGTTCATGTTTATCTTGATACTGGATTTGTTTAAAAAGATAGAAATCTGGATTTCTGTAGAAAGCCTACAGCAGAGCTAGCTTCTTTTTTTTTCTTTTGACACCACTTTTCTGTTCTCCTATTTATTATTTGCTCCATGGGAACTTTTATCCCCCCCCTTTTTTTTCTTTCTTTCTCAGTGGGAATCACATCTTCCAGGGCCAGGCTGCAGGGATTGCTATAAATGAGAACGGCAGAGGAATGATAACAGGTGTGTCAGTGGATCTGCTCCATTGTCTTATCCAGATGAACACACAAAATGACAAATGGCTTCTTTGTGTTTCCCCACTAATGTACACAGATAATAACTAATTTTAATTCCAGAGAATGTTATTCGAGAGAACCAATGGGGCGGTGTGGATATCCGCAGAGGAGGCGACCCTATCTTACGGAACAACTACATTTGTTACGGCTACTCAGATGGTGTTGTGGTGGGAGAGAGAGGACGTGGACTTATTGAGGGAAACCAGGTTTTTTGTATGTATTATTTATCTCTTAGAGACTTCATTGTGCTTAATAGCTCATTTTCAACACCCCTGACTCAGTTTAAACAGTTTGTTTCCCTCTTTCTCTGACTCCTTCAGGTAACAAAGGCTGCGGTGTGTGGGTTATGTCGTCCAGCCTCCCACAGCTCCTAAGCAACTACATCATCCATAACTGTATGTATGGGCTGGCAGTATTCTGCAGGAAGGACCCAGAGAACATTGAGGTCAGGGAGGGAAACTGGCCTGGGCAGGAAGGAATCGCTGGAGAAGGAGGCGGTGCAGACAGGAGGGGTGTAGAAGGAGAGGGACGTGAAGGGCAGGAGAACTTTAATGAAGAAGGTGAACTGTTTGCCTGGGACAGTGACCTGGACAGTGAAGATGAGCGCCACTCTGCTCGCCGCTCTATTAGCGTGGCCCTTGTGGAGAGCAACTGCATGAGCTACAATGGAGGTACTAAATTGATCTGTTTAATCAAATGCCGATAGAGCAAAGGAATGAAAGACTGTTTGTCATTTCTCCATCTGTTTGTCCCTTTCTATAGCAGTTGGTCTGTATGTGAAGAGCACTGAGGCCCTGAATGTTTTTGCTAACCTGATAAACTGTAACCGTGGCCTTGGCATTGCCGTGCTGCAAAGCAGTCAGCTGACCCGACTTGCTACAAACTGCATTCTGGAAAATGGTCGAGGTGGTGTTGCGGTGGAGAAAGACTGCAGAGTGGAGCTTCGTGGTAATGGCATCTACGAAAACAGTGGCTATGGTGTCAGTTTCAGTGGTAATGGGCAGATTGTGGAGAATGATGTTGTTGGGAACCGTGGATGTGGAATCCAGGTCTGTGGAACTGCCGATATCAAGGTGGGATGACTGAAGATCTCCAAACCTACTATTAGACCTGCATATTGTAGCTGTTTACTTTTATATTAACCATAACTTCATTACATTTGAGTTTTTAATAATTTTTTTGTCTTTAGGTAATGCGCAATCGTGTCCAACCCTCACAAGGCTGTGGGATCGCTGTGCTAGGGCCAGTTAAAGGTGTTGTCCATGACAACATCTTGTTCCAGGGTCACCGTGACAACAGAAAAGCGTTGCTACATATGGATCCTGGCAATGAGAGCTGTGTGCTGCGGAACAATAGCATTCTAAGGCATGATGACAGGTAATCAGTAGGCCCATTAAAAACTGGCAGACATTCAGTAGACCAGGGGTCTCCAACTCCAACTCCAGGCCTCGAGGGCCGGTGTCCTGCAGGTTTTAGATCTCACCCTGGGTCAACACACCTGAATCAAATGATTAGTTCATTACCAGCCTCTGGAGAACTTCAACAAAGTTGAGGAGGTAATTTAGCCATTTGAATCAGCTGTGTTGGATCAAGGACACATCTAAAACCTGCAGGACACCAGCCCTCGAGGCCTGGAGTTGGAGACCCCTGCAGTAGACCATCAGTGGAATTAGTGTCGTCACTTTCTATCGCTTCTGCTGTCTGCGCAGTGTCTAATAAATTACTAATAAATAGTAAGTGATCTGAGTAAAAAATTACTCAGATCTGCAGGTTAACTTAAATAACTTTTTGAGGTCATTGCTTTTAGTAGGAAAGCAGTGGCTCCGTGGTGTAGTGATCACATTTTCCTTACATGTAAAATGATCCCCCAGTTCAAGACCTAGGGCCCAACCTCAGAGGTTAGAAGATGGTGTACTTGGAGAAGTACTAAGGAAGGCCATCTAAATATCAGGATACCGCTTGAATCAGTTGCTGCTGCCTCATCTTATTAACTTGAGTTCTGTGTTTGTGGTTTGGCTCCTTAGAGGCTTTAGTCTTTGGTTCTTTACCGTGTTGGTAGTGCGTCCCACCACACTGCAGTTCTTTTACTGGTTTTATTACTTCAGTGGAGAGCAGTGGTTGTTTTTCTTAATCACATTCCCTCTCTATTTATTAGCTTTGCTGGGCTGGACCCATACGTGTACTGCTAGTTTACTCTAATAGCAACGTTTTTGAATGAAGCAGGTTTTTATGAGAAGAAAAAGTGTGCAGCTTAAAAGTTATTTCCCTCAGGAACTGGTGAAGATGAAAATGGTTAAAAAAAACAAATAGGGGTGGGGTGAAAAATAATCTTAAAGGGCACCTCCCAATTGCTGTTTACCCTTTTTTCTCTCTTCATTTCATAGCTGTACATCTGTTCCCCCCTGGGTTATGGAAAACCCTCCTCCTCGCCCACTGGCCAGCTCCCCTGCTGGTCTCTCTTCATCCCAGTATCCCTCTGGACTTGGAATTTCCGTGACCACCAGGATCGGCGCAACTGTGGAAAGTGGTTGCCACAGCGGCAGCATGTTTTGCAGCATCCTGTGAATACTGGCAAGAACTTACAAGCCAATATGATAGCCAGGGTCAGGAGGTCAGCATCGGGTTGCTCCTTAACTGCTGTAAACCATACACGTGGGGCACTGACTGTCAAAGTAAGGGTTCGGTTAATTGTCCAAGTAGCTGGAGACGGCAACTGAAACATTAAAGGAGGCATCCACCCTCATTTCTATTAAGGTGGAAGAAGATTTTGAAAATCTGATATTAGACTTTTGTACTTCTACGATTAAAATGCTACTGTACTCATAAAACGTGGGCTATTGAAAACCGAAGCTGGAGTACAAGACATTCATACTTCTTTGGAATCTGTTTGAGACTAGAGCTTTGTCTAGTTTATCATTAGCTCATTTACTGCAGACTTGTTTGGTAGTCTTATTTTTGCTTATAGGGACTCGCTGGTTAGGAAGTGCACATTTCTAAATCCTAGCAGGAGTCAAAGGCTTCAGAAATGCTGGCTTTGACAGTGGGTCAAAGTAAAGCTGTGCCTTGGTTGACTATTTAAGGGATGCTGTAGCGAGGGGAGGTGTGTTCATAGCGTGAGGGCTTTTATGCAACTAAGCCAAAATTAAGATTCTGTCTCTTTCTGTCCTGTTTGTTGGCGGGTCTCTGCTTGCGTAATGTCCTCTATGGTTTTTAAAACTTAATGCACTTCAGCTTTTGAGACATCTCATTATTTCAGATCCTGTCAACATGCTGCACAGAAAACTAAACAGATGTCTGCATATGATTATGCAAAAAAAACTGTTGGTAGTCTAAGCTTTATAGTTCCATTTGTAGTCCACCTGCACTTAAGTTCGACCAACCAATCACATTTCAGTAGGTTTCGGTTTCAGAAGAGGGTTTGCATTAGCTGAAATATAATCTCACAACCATCCACTATTGTCTGATGACAGTTTAGCTTTTGTAACAGCTTATTTAATTTGTCTGCATTTGTAAAAAATAAATCAAAAGCAAAAAAAAAGACCAGCAGACAGAAGAGAAAGGTAGTTATCCAGATATCCTGTCCACACACTCAGAGAAGGGGAAGATATGTAGTGTGCAACATGTGATGTCTACAAACGTGCCTATACGTTCCTGCTAGATGTTCTGTCATCTAGAATTTGTTTACAGTCTCTTTTTTTTTTTTTTTTCTATCTTTAAATGTAAGCGTGTCACATACGACTTGAAGTTCACTTTATTTGTCTACAAAAGCATTAACAAACAAGCCTTGTTTAATGCAGCCATTTGTTTGATATTAATTTCTTTCTGTCCAGTTCTCGGTTCTCCTTCACGTCCTCAGTGCATCTTTTTTCGTTTCCGTCTCTCAGTGAAGTGATCGTATTTGATCAGAGGCAGAACAAGGGCGGCCAGTCTGCTGTCATCTTGCAGTTCAATGTTATCACCCTTGCCTCGGGCTGGTTTCACCAAGGTCAGTCTCATTGACTTTGCGACTTCAGTCATCCTATAGGAGAGCACAAGAATCACAATAGTTTACAGTTTAAACAAAAACTACAGAGTAAAGAAGGAGGACAGTAGTATCTGTGGTTAAGTCCACATTATTGACTTCATTAATGATTTTACTCTTTATTTAAACAATGTATGAAATGTAAGAAACGATTTTTAAAGGCTTCCTTTTTATTCCCCTGCTTACCTTGCCTCAGTGATTCCCAGGTCACGATGCAGTAATGTGAGGTCAGCTGTCATGTTACCCATATGCAGCAGCAGAGCTAAGCAGTATGCTGCTAGTTTGACCCGCATTGACGACGACACCATGTTCTGGATTCTAAACAGAAAAGTAAAGAAAGTGTGTCTTTTGAAAAGAATCAGTGCAGCAACAACTATACTTTTGTGGTCAGATGTTTACATAAACTCATCATGGCGATGAATGTCTGCCATAAATAATTTGGCGATTTTTAAAAATTAATTATTTATTTGAACTGCTTTCCAGAGTGAAATGATAGTAAAGCACGCACCTTTAATAACTTATAGTTAAACAAAAATTAGGTGCACAAGTTCAAATATATACACACACATCCCCACTAATATTTGGCTAATGTCCCTTAGCAAGTTGTACTAATGAGATTTTTTTGGCAGCCCTCAAGAAGCTTCTGGCATAATTCTGGCTGAATATTTGACCACTCTTTTTGGTAGAATTGGTAAAGTTTCCTTAAATTTGTTAGTTTCCTGGCATAGACCCGGCTTTAAAGCACACTGAGTAAATTTAAACAGGATTGAGTTGGGTTTTTGTTTTTTTTGTTTTTTGAAAGGCAATTTCAGAGGCTTAATGTTAGCCTGCTTTATTCATTATAAAACCAGTTTTAATGTGTGTTTGGGGCTTCTTTGTTGGTTGCCACCCTCTCAGTTCATGGCAATAAAAAAGGTGCTTCACTGTGGACAGTAATGCTGGTGTTCCAGCAGTTTCCAGTTCATGGCAGGCTTCAGCCATGGTGGTTTCTGGGTTGTTCCTGACTGTCCTAGCTCACCTTCTCTCATATGAGGGTGACATTTTTGGCAAAGTGATGACATATCAGCTGTTTAAACTGATGATGTTGGAATCTGTAGTTCTTTCGAGGGTCTCCAAGAAACTACAGATCTCCTTAGATCTTCAATTAGTTTTTTGGACTTTTGCATTATTCTGAGTATTATTCAATCCAGTTGGTGCTATCGAACAATCCCTTCTTATGCTGCAAAGAGAAACTAAAAGATGTAGTCAATCACGATCACTATCGAGAAGCTAATAGGCCTTAACTTTGTTAAAATACATTGTAGAACCTTTAACACTTACTAAATTATTTAAGTGAGTGTATCTATATATTTGACCCTGTGTGGATTAGAGAAAATCCTAAATAAATTGAAACTTGTGCACCTAATTCTTGGTTTTTAAAATCATTAAAGGTGTATGCTGTACAATCATTCCACGCTGAGAAAAGAACAGGTCAAAGAAGTCATTAAAAGCCCAAAATTACCATGAGATTCATGCTCATGATTCGTGTATGTAAACTTCTTACAACTGTATATATTATTTAGCTTCCCTGTCTCGGTTTAGCATTTGGTAAATTTTTGAATTACTAATGAAATTATTAATTTAGTGAAACAAAATCAAATTCTGGATACATTTTTCTTCATTAGCTACATGTGTTTAACCACCATACCTGCCATTGTTGAAGGTCTCCACGGTGAACGTTTTAAACAGTTTGCCCTGGATGATGCGAGGGCAGCCTTCCTCTTGCCCAACTGTACATGCAAACATGAATTACTACAACCCTCTAATGGTGAAAGTTTGTATACCACTTTCCACATCATAACACTAACAAAATTCACTCACACTTGCGGGTGACATTCCTCTCCCGAGCCAGTTTGAGGAGCAGAGAGAGGTAGAAAGCACAGCGTGCTGTTTTGTCTCGGCTTTCACTTTCAGTTGGCAGATTCTCTAGATGCTTCACAATACTCAGGCACCTTTAGGTTAAAAATAAAAACCACAAGATCAACCTCAAGTGCAAGAACACATTAATAAAATGTCTCTGAAGGTTTGGTTGCCTCTACCTTCCATCATCTTTCATCTTTTTCAGCTCTTCGGGGGTGAGTGCTGCCATTTTGGCACCACCCTGCTCCAAAGCACCAAACTCCACTGGGCTCAAGACTGCACATATTCGGTTAAGGGTCACCTGAACAAAGTCTGGTACGGCTCTAGATAAAAACCTGCAAACACATGCATACGCTAGTACCCCATCTTGTAATCTGGGATTCAAATGGATTCCTTGCCTTCCTATTTCCATAAACACATTCCTCCTCCAGCACAGGAATAAAAGATACGCTCATCAAATGGATAGACGTCCTCTCGTTTGTCTGCGTTTGCATTGCAGGGGGGAAGGTGCAGAGCCAGGTCTCCTTGCGACTCTGCGTCAGCCACTTCTTGCTGCAAAGCTGTGCAGAGAGGGAAGGTTAAGAAAAAAAACCTGGGGAGAGAAACATTCAACTTCCAGATTTCTCCAAGAAGAGGCATCCACTGTGTAGCTCACCTTCCAGACCCTTCTCGCCAATCACAGTGTTGGCAGCCTTTGCCACTGCTTGCTGAAGGGTTTCACTGCCCACCTGATTCAGCCTGCGAGAGCTCAGAGCTCTCTTCTGCTTGTTGGTACCAAAGGCCTCAATCAGTAAATCAACCTGAAAAGGAAACATTAAAGGTAATAACAAGAAATTCACATCACATTAAACATAATTAAGCACAGATGTCTTGTAATGGACAGACAGTAGCAGCAAATGCACCTTTTCTCTGTAGGTCTGAGTAGTGTCCTGGGGTTTTGCACTGTCTGTTGTCTCTCCTGGTGACAAAAGTCAGAAAAAGTGACTCTCAGAAGGCACACAAAGCACTCCTTCCACAGCTTCTGGTCTTTATGGGCAGTTAATAATAGCAACAGATACGTTATAGGTCTCTTACCTGGTATAACTGGTTGCATGTTGAAGAGCTGAGCTTCATGCACCTCCATCGTCATGGTCTGCTTGTTCAACACGCCCACATAATACCTAAAAAGATGCCAAACATCAATCTCCTCCTCGGTGACCATAACATGCCAAAATGTGCAGCAAAGACCTACTTGCAAAGATTATTGCACTTCATGGACCCCACTCCAAAGTTCTGCCCCACATAGGACAGTCTGTCTGACTCTGCAACCTAAATAAAAGAAACCAGGAAGAACACTGAGAGTATAGCAACACAGCCCGGAGAGTGCAGACACACGATAGATCCTCATCTTCCTCACCAGTATCCGCCTGGTCTTTTTCCTGGGGTTACTTTCCTCCGTGTTTTTAAACATGCTGAAATCCAGCTTGTCTGCATTTTGAACGCTGCCGTTGGAAAAGCGGACTGTGGGATTGAGACAGAAACACCGGGAATTATACGTGATCAAACCTCAATGACCGATGTGACTGTAGAGTGACACACGTGAGAGCCTCGGACACAACAACACAGTAGTGCCCACGTGTGCACCTAAATGCTTTAGAAATATAAACTCTACAAAGCCCAACCCAGAGTCATGTGTCATCGTCATCATCCTCGTGAAAAATTCTACATAATAAACAAATGAGGACGACTCACCGACGACAGCTTTATCGGCTTCTTTCTCCTCTCCGCAGCACACAAACGAGCAGGAGGCGGCCATGACTTTTGTCATGATAAGTTTTCATGCAGGGCAAGAGTTACTCTTCTGTACTTCCGTGTTCGCTTCGCCAAGCCGCTGCTCTAATTTCCCCAGTTTTCTTGTGGATTCTTTACCTGGTGCCTTTCTTTATTTTTGCCCGCACTGTTCCTTCTGCTATGTCTTTGTTCATTGGATTATAGGATTATCATTTATACGGGCTTTAAAAAAATAAAAATGCCAAAGCATTTACCATCTCGATGCTGTTTATAATCTTTGGCTAACTGGCTGTGTGTGGGGGTGCAGCAGCGACGCCTTGTGGTGAAATCGTAAAGCTGCAGCTTTTCACCTCGGGTGAGGTCATGGACGCGAAAAAGAGGTACAGCGCCGCCCCGTGAGTCTGGTTGGAAAAACCGTCTGTCGGCGGGGAAAATATTAGAAAACACAACACAGCATGACGCTACCACTCACCAATTGATAGGAGGCATTAATATTATTCTAACGGTTATTCTGGCGCCGTGGCTGTGTGCTCAGCCTGGCAGCCGCTGGAGATCAACGGACACCGCGGCACCGTGCATCGCGGCCAGCTTTACGTTCCCACGGCCAAAACCAAACAAGCCGCTTCGGGGTCAAACCGTCAGGAAGTCGACCGCAGGGGGACGCGGGAGGTAGCAGCGGAAATGTTAGCTATCCACAGCTCGGCTTGAGGGGACATTTTGTCCAGTCTCGGTGAACGCATGCCGCTGCTTTTACTCTAGCTAACGGGCTATTTGCTGGGCTGAAGCCAGCTAACTTTAGCTAATTGGGGCCCTGTTTTCCCTCTCGATACCTGCATTTTCCGGATCTTTCAAGGTAACCTAAAGTACTGCTGGCTCTCTGCTCTGACTTACAGCACCAGCAGAGTGCTTCTTTTGTGCCATTTTACCCAGTCGCATCCCATGCTATTGTGTTCCATTGCAGTTGTGACGTTAACTGTGTGTAAAGACCTGTTCGTCAATATATGACTTTATAGCAAGAAGGCAAAGGCAGTGAAAAACGCAACATTTGATGCACAGTAATCAGTAACCAAAATCAAATGACAGCACCACGGCATCCTGGCTGTTAGCTAGTAAATACAAAAACTGATCCAACTTCACCCCCATCATCATTCATCATCATTGAGTACCTGCATCCACAGGTACTCAAAAATGCACAATTTCATCACTCAAGTAGAAGTACACATACTTGTTTCAAAAAATACCGAAGTGCTGGATTCAGACTCTGAAATGCAGTGAAAATGAGCTATTTTGAGGACATTTCTATCAGCTGTTTTGTGCAAAGCTAACTTAACTTCATTAATAATATAAGAATAAAATAATATTATGGGAGTACAAACATTATGTCAGCCCAAATTCAGATGCAAACTCGCTCTATGTGCTGATGTAGCTACACCTAAGCAGAAAAATGAGCATAATCGTGGGTTTAAGTTTGATTTGAGTAGGTGTGAGAGCTCTAGTTTTGTACTGCAGCATCACTTGGAAGTAATTTTTATTGTAAGCACAATGAAATTTTCTTTGTTTTCCGGCTGTGATCAGCTGACCTGAGTTTCTGCTCTTGTTGGCTGTCAGGGCAGATTTGTGACACCCCTACACATTATAAAGGTGGAATTCAGTGAATTAATCTCCTTTCCATAACTTTAAATTTACGTGTTTCCTTGTTACAGTGACCATAAACGCCACATCTGTTCTGCACTGTAAACATCCCCACAGTACCGCAGATTAACCGGTTTACCCTGCCATACACTGCCTTTTCATGCAACCTTGGAATAGCAAAAGTTAGTATACACTTCACATAAGCAACACATCAGGTATAGATCTGGTATCAGTTCAAAAGTGTCTAAAATGAATGAGGATGTTGTGTTTCAGCTTTAACTTTCCAGTCTGTTAAATGTCACGGAGCAGTCCTTGCCTTTTAAAATCTAACCTCTCTCCATCCTTTCCTGTCTTACTTTGATAAATAAGCATTTTTTTTAACATTTTGAAGTGTGATGAGTGTTGTAGTAACACATGTTGTGATTTATCACTTTGTCCACAATTGTTTTATCCATTAAGATAACTTGATCTTATTTAATTTTTGTTTTGTTTTTTTCTCATGCATAATGGATTGTCAAAAAAGCAAGCTGCAATCAGTGTGCTACTCAATAATGTCAAGTTGGCAACTACATACAGTCTGTTTCTTGTAATACAGCAATTAACTTAGAACTATTGGTTTGGGCATTATGATGATAAGGGTAAGAGTACGTAGGGGCCGTAAACTGAATTTCCCAATTTGTTGAAGAACACTGAAGCTTGAAAACCTCCAGGTCGCTGCTGATTGGTCAGATGCAGTGACATCAGTAGATCACCTGAGCTTTGCTAACTGACTGTGGTTCTGCATAACTAACCTACCCTCTGCTCCTCTGTCTGCAGGGCCATGGATTTCCCAGGCCATTTTGAGCAGATCTTTCAGCAGCTGAACTATCAGCGTGTCCATGGTCAGCTTTGTGACTGTGTCATCGTGGTAGGAAGCCGACACTTTAAAGCTCACCGCTCTGTGCTGGCGGCCTGCAGCACCCACTTCAGAGCGCTGTTCACTGTCGCAGAGGGAGATGCTAGCATGAACATGATCCAGCTGGACAGCGAGGTTAGAAAGAAAATGCTGTCAAAAAAGCGAAAAAAGTGTTTTTAGTCGTTCTAATGGTGATTGAAACCACTGTGTGCGTTCTGCAGGTGGTGACGGCCGAGGCCTTTGCTGCTCTCGTGGACATGATGTACACGTCAACACTGATGCTCGGCGAGAGCAATGTCATGGATGTTCTCCTCGCAGCTTCGCATCTGCACCTCAACAATGTGGTCAAGGCTTGCAAACACTACCTGACGACGCGTACGCTGCCCATGTCCCCCTCATCCGACAGAGCTGCCCATCACCACCCACAGCAGGAGCAGCAGAGGCACAGACAGCAGCAGCATCAGCAAGTAGCTGATTTAGCAGTGAACCCGATGTTAGCAGCTAATGCTAATCTTGCAGCAAATGCTGCCACTTCAAAGCTGCAGCGCTCCTTCTTACTGCAGCAGCTGGGGCTCAGCTTGGTGAGCTCTGCTTTGGGTGGGATGGAAGACGACCGGGTGGGAAATGTTGTTGGCAGTAGGGTGGTTGACCAGAGGGCCTCCTTCCCAATCCGACGCTTCCACAAACGGAAGCCCTCTCTGGCGCTGGGGCTTTCAGAGGAGAGACCCAGACAGAGACAGCGTCCTTTGGCGCCTAACCTCGGGTTGTTAGGAGAAGAAGGGGTGAACGCAGAGCGGGAGGAGGGAGCACTTCTCTCCCCGGATTCCCACAAGATGGGGGACGAATCTAAACTTGACCCTGCGATCACTGGGTTAGCAGCTGCGTCCCAAGATGACCCTCAGATGCCGAGTCAGTCAGATAGTGGACGCTGCGAGGAGGACAACTTGGGGAGAATTCAAGGAGTAAACAAAGTAGAGGACATGGATGACCAGGATCAGCAGGACAGCAGAGCAGGGGTGAAAATAAAATCAGGAACAGAGGAGGAGGAGAACGAAGAAGAGGAGCAGAAGGTAAAGCTACAGGTTTGTCTCTTCAGTGGGCAGGAATATTTTCATAGTTAAAACTCTCCAGACCTCTCAGGCTTGTCTGTATGAAGTAAACAAACTTAACAGAAATCGTTGGTTTGATTGTCATTAATGCAAACAGGGGTTAAGGAATTGGACAGAAGAGGGAAGTCATAAGATCGGGTGTAGCAGTGCAGCAGGGGAAAATGACTCACTTAGAAATAAGTCACATAATTTCTGTTCTGAGGATTTGATTTCCTTGCGGACGGACTGTGACAGCTGACCTGTGCTGACTGAGGTTCACTGCTCTTTGTGGGTTTTGCTTGCTGCAATTTACGAGATATTAGCAGATGTTACATGAGCTGTCGTGGTCACTCTCCAACCTTTGGGCGGTGTAATGTCTAAAGGTGGAGATTGGCAGGTGAAGGGTAGTAAAGAATGTCATCAACTTACATTCCAACCAAAAACTGTTACCCTGAAGCCTTGATTACATTTTCCTCATCGACTTGGATCCAAGAGACATAAATTTGACCAGTGTTATTGTGGCCTCGTTAACTAATGTGCAGATAATTGACATTACAGTTCATGAACTACACACACACACACCAGGCAGAAGAGTTCAAGCAGACTTCAAAGGGGTATAACAGGAGGGACAACTCGGCCATCGAGTTTCAGCTGTCATAACCAGTCCTAACAGTGGTCGTGAACACCCATCCTGCACTTCATTACTGTAAACTGTACCACAGTACTGCAGAGTACCTACTTTAGCCTGAAAAGACTGTCCAGTATAGTATAGACCCCCCCACTCTGCAGCAGCAGCAGTAATGGCGAGGAAGCCATTTCTTGCAAAAGTTAACATGTTAATTTTCCACTAAATGTTTCTTTAGAGGGTTTATTTGTTTTACAACTTATATAGAGGAATTTATCACCATGGCTTAATCCACCCTGAACCTGCAAATTACTGTTACAGCTGCTAAGACGACACAGGTCAACAAAGTAGCAACGCACCGTGACAGAAGAATGGGGAAATGGTTGGATGTTAACTCTTTATTTTGAAATGACATGCTAGAAAAAATAAAACGTCTTAGTAAGGCAAAGCAGGCTTGTTCAAGAGATTATTTTAGAGCATCTGGTGTTACCCATTCGGGAGCTGGCTCTGAGGTTTCTGTGAGAAGTCTCTCCACAATAAAATTCTGTCCAACTGTGAGACCTTTAGGCAGTGTTGTGAATATTAATTCTTACATTAAAATTTGAGGTCTTATCTCCCTTGGCCTTAGATGAAACATTTCTTTCCTTTTCTTGCTTTTCTTAGGTGGTTGTTAAACGTGAGCCGCTAAGTTCCCCCGAGCCAGCTGATGAAATTAGCGACGTCACATCGCAGGCCGAAGGCAGTGATCCCCCCGAGCCTGGGTGCCAGGAGGACGAAGAGAAGGTGGAGCTGAGCCCAGAAAGCAGCGACCGCAGCTTCACTTCTGAACCCCAGCCCAGCTCCGACTCTCTTCTCCAGCCCAGCTCCCAGCTCATCCTCAAGAGCAGTATAGGAGGAGGTGCGAACGGAGGAGGTTTTGGGTGTAATAATGGACTGAGTGGCAAACCTGGTTTCAGCATTTCCAGCTTCCTCAGCCAAAAGGATTTTGCGACTGGCAGCTCGGGGATGGTTGCCAGAGAGGACGACCTTCCGAACACAACAACTGGGGATGCAGTAGCACATCGCTTTCTGCTGAGGCAGGAAGCTGCTGGCACTTCGAGCTCTGCTTCTTCCTCTCTTTTGCAATCAGGCCCACTCAGTGGTGAGAGTAGAAGCAGTTTTGGAGATAATCTGCAAGCCGATTCTCTGTTCCTCCGCCCCCTGCATGATGGTTTAGGAAACCCCAGAGGAAATGGGGGAAATTCAAGAGGAGGACGTGGAGGAGTGGATCCTTTTGATTTGGAATTCCAGCGCTCAAGTTTGGGGCTTCATTCACTGGGACGGCCCTCAAGAGAGACAGGAGGAGCCAGCGGCACAGGTCTGAGTTATCCAGGCTACAGACGCATTGCTCCAAAAATGACCACTGGCATGGGAGGAGAAGAGGCAGTAGGGGGGATTCTTCAGGATGCTGCCTCTTCTTCCTCAAGTCTAGCGGGTCCCCTGCTCCTCAATGAGAACGGGGGGTATGAGATGAGTGGCAACAGGCCCACCTCCCTCCCCCCTCAGCTCACCCGGGCCTCAGCAGACGTTCTGTCCAAGTGCAAAAAGGCTCTCTCAGAGCACAATGTCCTAGTGGTTGAAGGGGCACGAAAATACGCCTGCAAAATCTGCTGCAAAACCTTCCTCACCCTGACTGACTGCAAGAAACACATCCGTGTCCACACGGGAGAGAAACCCTACGCATGTCTGAAGTGTGGAAAACGCTTCAGCCAGTCGTCACACCTATACAAGCATTCCAAGACCACCTGTCTGCGCTGGCAGAACAGTAACATGTCCAATGGCCTGCTGTAGGAGCAGAGTGTGGAGATTAAAACACTAGGAATCAGTGTAGCTGCCTTTAAAGTCACAAAGCTGTTATAAAAATGTTTCTGAAGCTCTGACTGAACGGCCAGTTTTGTTATCCGCTCTGTCTAAACTAACTGATCCTGATCACAGACCAAAGATGGGGATGAAAATGTAACTTAATATAAATATGTAACATGATCTTCTCCAGGACCAGTTGATAAAGTTTCCGTTAAAAAATTAACCCCATAGAAAGATTATAGGGATGTAGGACATGCAAAATTAGCATATTTATTTATGTTAATTAATTGCAAAATGTCAAAGTGCACCCTTTAAACTTTACTGTATTAGAGCCTGACTGATTTGTCTGCAGGCTGATATATCAGCCAATTCTGGCTATTTACCATTTGGCATTGATAATGGCCAATAAATGAAAATTTAAAAAGGAAAAAACATCTTTTAACAATTTTGTGAGCATAACACAGCATAAAAGATGGACGTAGCTGCTGTGACATCACCCTTTGGTTTGTGAACTCCCATTATGAAACTTCAAGATGAGCATGAGGTGATCCTTTAGTGCCGATTCATTGTTAGTGGTACACTTGGAATTAAATTCGATTCAGTCATTGCAACACTCAGAGGCAGCTGTGCAACATCAGCACTAGAGACTGACATCATGTAAAATATTGTATTTAAATTCATATTCAGTGCATAATTGTAAAAACATGTAGCAGCTGACATTATTGACTGTGCCTTGTTCTGTTCACAGGCAGTCACATCCATTCACATTCATCCACGTTGGCTGCCATTATGCGTGTAAGTGCTAAAATCTAATGGTTTATTAGATGCAAGCAAAAAAAGGTAGAGATAATCCAGTGTGTGGGAGAGACCTGGGTAATGCTGAAATCTGTAGCATTTTAACAGTTTAACCAGCTGAGAAGGCGACAGAGTATGTAGTGTTGTAACAGTGTTTTTATTCTGTCATGCGGTGAAATGTCATCAGTAGGGATGGGTACCGGTATCCGGTGCCATGATGGCACCGGTTCAGACATAAACGGTAGTAACCAGACCGAAAAGCTGCGCACATTTCGGTGCTTTATTTCGGTGCTTTTTTTTCCTGAGATGTCGTACACTTTGAATTCTAGCCAATCATTTTACGTTTCCGAGGATAGTAGGCGGGTCCAGGTACGTACGTTCTTTTAGAGCAGAGCTACAGATTAAAAATGCCCAAGGCGAAGCGGTCAAAAGTCTGGCTGTACTTCACAGCAAAATATGCAAACTCAGCAGCCTTCAACAAGTGCTTTAAGGTGATACTGTCAAAGGAGGTAACACCTCAAATCCGATGAAACACCTGGCGACGCATAGCGTTTTTTTTAAAAGCCGAAAAATGCGCCGTATTTGATAGCTTGCTGCCAGACCTCACACCGAGCGCATCTACTGCGGGTGGGTTGCCTGTTATCGGACCCGGAGTTAGCAACATCCCCCAAAAACCCGAAGAGGA